GCTCATGCTGCACCATGCCCCCCACTTCACTCACGCTGCACTGTGCCCCCCCATGCTGCACTATGCCCCCCATGCTGCACCGTGCCCCCCACTTCACTCACACTGCACTATGCCCCCTTACCCCCTACACGACAGCACCCCTGCTTAAGCTTCTCCCAGGGCCTCTGGCTGCTCTGGAGGGCTAGCAAGGAGCCCAGATCATCACTATCATTTTTGATCTTAAACTACATCTCTATGCTCTCAGGAAGGCCCAAAAAAGTTGGCTTCCAAGGGCTGCCAGGCAGGACTCAGAGCTTCCTCCTGGCAAAACATACTTTCCCCAAGACACAGGCCTTGCTGCCAAGGCCACAACACACACGCTTACCTTGACCATCAAAAGCTACAGAAAAAGTGAAATGGGACAAGAAAAGGGGAAAGTCCAGTGTCCAGGGTGGGGGCAGGTGGAGGGGATGGGGCCACAGGGCTGCTCACGGCTTCTCTTTAGGTGGCAGCTCCTGCCTCTCCCACCCCCTCAGCCCCCATCTTTTGCTGCACAGCCCCCATGACTCCAAACACCACCAGACCTCCCCCATGCCTCTGCTTCCCCACTTTTAGGGGCTCCCCACCGCCTCTGGGACAGTCAGTGCTCCCCTACTCGCCCTGTCCAGCCTCAACTCTCTCTTCACACACAGTCTTGCCTATTAAGGGTCCAGAAACCTCAAATGGCCTCTCTCCCACACACACCCTGTGACTGCAGGCCTTGGACTTGGCCCTTGCTGTTCCCTCTGCCTGATCAGCTGCCACATTATATGCTCCTGGGAACGTAAGTGACCATCTGACTTTGGGTCAGGAAATCACTACTTTGAGATGCAAACAATGGTTCATTTCAGGCAAAAATCAGCTAGTGAGCTACTTCAGGAATTGTCTTTCCTAAGACGATGATGAAAATGTTTACTAGAAAGGGATGAAAATGATGAATTCACCCTCATCCCTCTGTCCACATTTACAAAAAGCCTCCCAGATATGGATGAGACAGATTAAACTGGAAGACACACAAACAGGGAGAACGCAACAAAAGGCCTTAGGACTAAATAATTAACATTAGATCTTACACTAAAAAAAAAAGAAATCACCCTAAGGGCCAAACCCTAAGTTCACACAATTATGCCCAGCTGTCCATAGAAAACTATTCTCCTTCAGAACTAAATTCTCAAGTCCCATCGGCAGAGAAGAGACAAGAGGTTTTCTCCTCGGCCTGGCCCGGTGCTGGCGCTAAGGAGGAGGCTGGACATGGCAGATCCACACATTGCCCAGAGCCCAGCCCAGCCCAGTAGGCAGAGAGCAGGGCACCGCTCAAAGGCTGCCAGGATGCAGAGGGCCCCGTGTTACCAGAGCTGGCACCTGGTCTCCAAGAAGAGCTGCTTCCCCTTGTGCCAAGGTGCTGGAGCTGTCCCCTGGTCAGCCGAGCTGTGAAAGAGGGCATGGAGCCAAGGGTAGACGTCAAGGCAATCTCCAGGCTTTGTGACAGATTCTGCTCATGGGATATGGGACCTGTGGAGAGATGCACAGACCACAACATCCAGAGAAGTTCCGCAAAAAGAGAAAAAGCTAGTCATGAATGGACTTGAAGACTACAAAAACAGCAGTTGAACTTGAAATAGGTAAAACTGAGAAGAAACTTGTAACGTCTACTGGTGAACTGTGCTAACAGAACACAGAGCTTAGCAGCTCTGACCCATCCCACGCATTTCTTCAGGGCAACTGGCCTGGTCTAAGTCAGTCTCCTGGACAAAAAGTTGTGCAGGTAACGGCCACCTTGTGGCTCAACTGCAGAACTGCACTCTGCTTTCTAAAAGCCCTGCAGAGCCAGATCACGCCTATCTCTCTCTCTTCTATTCTCAGCTCTCCAACTCTCCCCACTAACCATGGTCTTCACCTTCCCCATTGCTCCCTCCCTGGGGCTCCATCACCCTGCAAGGCTGCATGCCCAGGCTCTCTAGGTGTTTGTGCCCATTCTTTCCTGCTAAATAAAGCAAAGCCTTTCTTACCAAGAGTAGGATCACTAAGACTTCTTTCTGCACACCCAATCTAGGGGACTTCCTGTGTGAGCTACAGGAAGCAAAGCAGTGGAATGAGGCTGAAGGCAAGGGGGCAGGAGACAAGTGCCCAAGAAAGGATGCAGGGACCTGCCTGGCAGCTGGGTGCTTAAGACTGTAAAAAGTGGGAATGGAAAGTTTTAGCCACAATTTGCAGGACACAGGATGTTATTAACTGGGACAGATGATGTCACAGACAGAGCAGGTATCTGAGGACCTTTCTGTGTCTCTTGACTTGTTGCATTTCCAAAGATGCCAAGAGTTCCTGGGGACATAGTAACTACAATTTACTCTCAAAATCAGAGAAGATACAGATAAAACAATTATTTGTATGTGTCTCTTAGGAATTTATGAAGAAGAATGTGGCATCAAGATCAGAGAAAAACACATCAACAACTTGCGTTATGCAGAAGACACAACTTTGCTTGCTGAAAGGCAGGACTGGAAGCATTTGCTGCAGAAGATGAAGGACTACAGTCATCTATAAGGATTACATTTCAGCATCAGGAAAACAAAAATCAGGCCAAAAGCGACAGCATGATAGAGAAGAGATTGTAGCTCTCAATGACTGCATCTTCCTTGGATCCATAATCAACACCTTTGGTATCAGCAGTCAAGAAATCAAATGACAAACCACACCGGAAACATCTGCTGTCCAAGATCTCTCCAGAGTATCAAATAAAGAGTTTCCCTGTCAGGTTAAAGGCTAAGGTGCGTCTGATCCAAGCCATAGTCTTTTCAGTTATTTGCTATGCATCTGAAGGTTGGATAGTGTATAAGGTGACAGAAGAATCGATGCCTTAGATTTGTGCTGCTGGAGAAGACTACTATATATCCATGGGTACAAACAGGTCTGTCCAGGCAAAAGTGAAACCAGTGCCCTTTGGAATCAAAGAGGGTGAAACTCTTGTCTCACATATTTTGTGTCTGTTGTAAGGATGGGCCAGTCCTTGAAGAAGGACATCATGCTGGGAAAGATCAACATAAGAGAGGAAGATCCTGAACAAGATGGATTGACACAGTGACTGAAGTAATGGGCTCAAGTGTGCCAGGGATGGTAAGGATGGCACAGGATAGGCCAGAGTTCAGAGTTGCTGTTTATAGGGTCACAATGAATCACAGTCAACACCTAACACAACTTAAACCAAAACTAAAGAAAACAAAACATACACATCGGGATGCTGACCTAAAAGTGAGCCGACTGAATCTACCAGCTGTTCTACAAGGAACAGAAGGACAGTCTCCTGTGAAGCTACTGCCTCACAGATCCAGTGGAGAGTCCCTATGAGTTGGAATCGACTCAAAAGCAGAGGGACTGAGTTGCCTACAACCAGGAGAAGATAAAGTAGATGAATGGGATCTTCTAAGACTCAAATCCCTATGCACATCCAAAAACTTCTCTAACAGGGTAAAAAAGGGAAGCCACCAACTGGGAAAAAATATTTGGTAATAACATATCAGATAAGGGACTTATATCCAGAATTTATGAAATACATGAGCACCACAACAAGATAAAGGTAAATAATCCAATAGAAAAATGGGCACAGGATATGAACAGGCACTTCACCGAAGATGACATTCAGATGGCTAACAAGCACATGAAGAAATCCTAAGAGAGATGCAAATTAAAACAACTATGAGATATCATCTCACCCCAGTTAAAATAGCAAAATTTAACAAAACAGCAAGCAACAAATGCTGGTGAGGTTGTGGAGAAACTGGAACCCTTATTCACTGTTGGTGGGAGTGTAAAATGGTGCAACCCCTGTGGAAAGTGGTATGGCGCTTTCTCAAAAAAGTTGCAAATAGAGATACCATTTGACCCAGCAATTCCACCACTGGGAATATACCCCGAAGAGCCCATAACTGACATCCAAGCAGATATATGCACACCCATATTTATCACGACTCTGTTCACAATAGCAAGGAGTTGGAAACAACCTAAGTGCCCATCAACAAATGAATGGATAGAGAAGTTGTGGTATATTCACACAATGGAACACTATGCTGCATTGAAAAACAAGGAACTCATGCAATATTATTCAAAATGGTTGACTCTGGAGAACATTATGCTGAGTGAAATATCCCAGTCACAAAAGGACAAATATTGCATGGTGCCACTGTTGTAGAACGGGACTGATCTTGGGGTTGGGGAGAGACTGAGTAAGATGGGTTCAATAATGTATACTGCACTGAAACAGAGGAGGGAGAAAACTGTTTAAAAGAGATATGTGATTAGGTATTTCTGTCATAACAGGAGTCTAGAGCGATGGCTACATGGTGGAGTGGACCTGGGGGAGGGTTTGTAAAACAATGAAAGAATCTTTTCTTTTACTTTTCCAAGAGTGTAGTGTTCTGGGGTGGGGGTGGGAAGACTTGGGAGGGAACAAATCTACAACAATGAATGAATGGAAATACAAAGCCTCTGTAAATTTTCACTGAAATTAATAACAAATTTAAATTTAAAAAAAATAATTAAGTTAGAGTAAGGATGGCAATGGATTTATAACTGCTCAAAGCTAATAACAGAGGGACGGAGTTGGTTTACTTCTCAAAGAAAAAGCACACATACACACAAAAAATAATAATAACAAAAAGCACCAAAGAGCAAATCCTTAAAAAGCACCAGGCACTGACAATTCCAGTTGGAACCTAGTTCTATTTAAACTGTCTCACAGATCATAAAAGGTTCCAAATTCTTCTTATGAAACCAATGATACCAAAACCTGACCACACACCCACAAAACTACAGTCCAATCTCACTAATGAGTGCAAAAATCCTAAATAAAACACTAGCAGTTACATTAAAAGAAATTATGAACAAATGAAGCTTATTCCAGAAATGCAAGAATGGTTCACTATTTGTTGTTGTTACTGTCGTGTGCCATTCAGACAGAACCAACTCATAGGTGACCCTCCACTGGGTTTTCAGAGCCTGTAAACTAGATGGCAAGAGACTGCCCATCTTTCTCCGTGTGTATTTGAACTGCCTGCCTTTAGGTTGGCAGAGTAATGACTTACCACTAAGTCATCAGAACTCCTGGGTTCAATATGAGGAAACCTATTAATATACTTTAACGCATTAAAATATCTAAAGATGAAACCTCAACAATTAAAATGTTACAGATACACAAATAAAAAGACCAATAACACAATAGAAAATTGAGACATACACAAATACAATAGGGAATTCAGTACATGATAGAGAAGACATTTCAAATCAGGGGGAGAAAAAAACAGAATAATTAATAAATGGGTAATTATCTGGAAAAAAAGTATTATGTTGGATCCATAGGTCATATCATTTGAAGTGGATTAAAGATTTAAATGTAAAAGAGTAATAACTAGATTATTAAAACATGGTGTCAAATGCTTTCTTGTGTGCAGACTGTATTTCTAAAAATTATTAACCAGATTACACCTAAAAATCTGAATGGCCAAATCTACAAAGTAAGTCTTGAATTGAACCTTCCAACAATGTCCCATCTCCAAAACCAAACAAAAAGAAAAATAAAATACTTTGGGAAAATCTATTTCCACTCATAACAAAGTCAAAGTGCCAATCTATCAAGATTGTCTAGAAATTACTAAGAAATAGACCAATAAATAAGAGAAAATAAGCAAAGGAAATTGACAGTTCATAGAAAAGGTAACACAAATGGTTTTTAATGATTTAAGGAGATGCTCACTGTCACTAAAAAAAGATTAAAATAATATATGACACTGGACTCCTCCATATTTCCTTTCAAGGAGGAAGGTCCATCCCATCTTTGGGACATAACTTTTCTAATAAATCTCTCTTAACTTTTTTACCTTAAGAAAACCACAACAAAAAAACGATACCATTTTTTAATCTGTCAAATGGTAGTTTAAACCCACATCCTGTAGGTAAGGCTGTGAGGCACCCACACGTGCTGCTGGGCGGGCATCTCACTGAGCAGTGCAGCACCACCTCTCACATCCACGGAAGGGTGTACCCTTCCATTCAGAAATCCCACCGCCATGACACGCTCGACAGATACGCAAACTCACTTAGACGTGTGCAACACGCTACATGCACAGGCTACTCACTGCAGCGTCATCTGTAAGGGCAAAGTATTAAAAAACAGCATGATTGTCAGTGAAAATGAAGATGGGATAAGGGGTAGAAGTGTCTCTGTGTGTATGTGCTTGTTTGTGTACAAAATCTCTAACTACCTGAATGGCTTGCTTATTTTAAAAAATCAGTTAGATCCAATTATAATACCACAGTGGTAAATGAATCTGAGGGGTTTTATTAATGAAATTTGAGAACTCACACCCAATCTTACTTAGATTCTGAAAATCACTAATCTTTCTTTTGTTTCAATTTTAGTTAAAAAGATCTTACTTGGTTTGCCAATTTCTTTATAAACTTTAAAATAAGCTTGTCCCAAACCAGAAATTTTGAACTGGAGATAAATACCATAAAAAGGGCATCAGGTAGGGAGCTCTGGTGGCCTAGTAGCAAGAAGCTGCACTGTAATCCTAGAGGTACAGCGGTTCGAATCCTCCAGATGCTCTGCTGGAGAAGGAGGGACAATCTCCTCCAGTACGAGTCAGATCCAATTTGACAGTCCATGCACAAAAAAAATAAAATAAGAAAAGGCATCAGGATATTCCACTCATGCTCTCTTGGGCTAAAAAGACATTTTTAATTTCTATTTCTCTCATCTTCCTCTTTTCTAGAATTTAATGCTTCACTTGCCCAGCTGTTTGTAACACATGAAAACCCAAGAGTCCCCCATGTAGGATCTCAGGGAACAAACATTAATGCAAGTTTCAGCAAAACAAAGATCCCCAAATCTAAGACCAATGAAGTAAAGAACATGGGGCAGGCAGGTGGGGCCCCGGGAGTAAAAAACGGGGCAAGAAAGCTAAGTGCAAGCCAAGCAGCATGGCTGAAGGAAGAGTAAGCTGCAGAGACCCTCAAGTGAACCAAGTGTGCACTTGGCAGGAGAAGGCCCCAGGAAACACTGGCGATGCGCCACACAACAGGCTAGAGGCCAGGAAGCTTATACCCCACAATGCACAGGATTTCAGTCAGGGTTTCTAACTTGTCCATTCCATGTGACCTCTGCTGAGAATGTGCACTTACACCCCAGGTATACTGAGTCAGAATGTACTGTTAACAGGATTCTCACACAGATGTTAAGAACGTGGGAGAAACCCTCAGGATTTTGTTAAAGCTAAGCTCCCATTCAGTATATCTGAGATGCAAATTCTCAGACGGTGGTCAAACCACACAAACTGGTGAGAAGCTCTGATTTCGACTCATACACGGCACCTTCTTCAATGTGTCCTGTCTCTTCAGTGAGCTACCTCATGGGAGGAGAACCCACAATTTAGAACTTTCTACAGGTCCATGGCAACACAGAGTAGTGCCTGAGGCAGAGAATATGTCAGTGTACTTATGTGAAAGCATCCTTATAAAGGCCAGAAACAATACTCAGGATGACTGCAATACATGAGTAACCATAAAGAGAATTCCAGAAGGAAGACAAGGTCTGCTCTGAGGGATTAGTGTCTCTTCTGATAGCTGTGACCAGTGTAGACAATAGGACAAAGTGCTAACTTGGCCAGCGGTGCCAGAGAAAGGCTGAAACCACTGGTGGACAATAAGTGGACAAAGGAGCAAAGCACAACGACTAAAGGCCTTAATCATCTCTGGCCCAAAGACAGAGCTGGAGGTCCCGCAGTAAGGAAGGACAAGGGAAGAGAATGGGCACCAGCCTGAGAATTTACACTGGTCAAGCGTAAAGCAAAAAAAGCAGTGCCAACTGTCACTGGGAAGTCACAAAGGGCTACAGCCAGAACAGAGGAGTACCTGGTGAGCAGTCCATGTGCGTCAGGCCAGGCTCACTCATAGCTTTCATCTTCTTAGACGTGTGCTCTGAGGTAGTGGGTGAAACAAGAGGGCTTGTGGGGGAAAAACCAGCAGCATTTCCACCAAGGTTACTCTCTGGGGCCTGTTCAGCCTCCTCCATCTTCCTTTTCAGAGAAGGCATAACAATAGAAGAAGGGGTCACTGCCAGTGCAGTTTGTGCCCTCCCAAGCAGGTGGCAGCCAGGGACGGAGTGCTGGAGCAGAAAATGGTCAATGCGGGCCTTCAGGGAAGGGTGAGGCAAGGGCTGGGAGTGTGGAGTAAAGGCCACCCCCGTGAAAGGGTCGCTGGGTACCCGGCCCCATGCAGCCTCACTGCGGTTGCACTTGTCCAGTGTGCTCTGGTCAATGACCTTGCCCGAGGGGAGCAGCATGGGGCAAGGCATGATCTCCTGGGTGATGGGATCCAAGAACTCTTCAGGCACATCTTGAATTACCTCAGTCAGCTCCTGCAGACTACATGGGGTCTGCTGGCCCTCAGACTGGCCCCCAGGGTCACAGTCACTCTCCATGGGCAAGGCAGGGGCCTGCAGAGCCAGGCCCTGAGGGAGGCTCTCTGACGCGACCAGTAGGACACTGTTTATTACTTCCTGGGAGCACGTTTTGGCTGGCTGACCCCACACTTCCAACCGCCTGATGCATGGGATACCGCTGCCTGCCACGTGGGTGATACAGATCTTGAGATGGGCTACGTGGCTAAGAGAGAGAGCCCCTTTGTTCCAGAGATCCTGGGTCATTGTGGCTGGAGAGGGGAGGGCGGCTTCCATCATGCTGAAAGGTGGCCGGGCCCTGAAGCCCCTGTGGCTGAACATTACTTGGTTCTGGTGTTTTAACAAGACTTTTCCCACCAAGGTGAATGCTTCTCTGTCTGGGATGCAGGGCTCAGCTGGGCCTGGGCTCTGGCACTCAGAGGTACTCCAAGAGGTTCTGCTGGGTAAGGCTGATGTGTACATTTCCAGGCCGGTAACGCTATGGCTTACACCATTTGTGAGGTCTATGTTAATCCTACAGATTTCCACATTGAAGGGAAAAGAAAGTGTCACATAGACCGGTGGCTTAATGAAATACTCTGTCCTAAAACCACGACTCCTCTTTGTGAAGTCTTCAGAGATGAGATTTTCTACTTCATAACCATCAGCTGATATCTGGATTAAAGGATAAATGAGACAGTGATTTAATGAGGTCCAAATGAAGACTTTGTTTTATTTCTGTTTTGTTTTTTAATTTTTATTTTATATTGGTTTGCTTACAAAGTTCATATACACTGTGTTTCACACTATCTTTCATCCACATTGTGTTTCATACAATCATTCCCATTCATTATGTTTTACAAAATTAATCACTATTGAACAATGCCCACCATTACCCTGTCTTTCCAGATCCCCACCCGGATCTTTCCCATTTCTTTACACCCCTGTCTTCCACCACCAAATTGTGTGACCTTATGATTTCCCCCTTGATTTGGTTTTTGTTAGTTTTTTAAACTTGTCATTTCTAAGAAAACTTTTTAAGGAAAGCTTGAAGCTCATCATTTAACTTTCTTCTATCAAATTAAGGCATGCTTTCTTTTTGCAGGTACTTAAGGTCAGGACAAAGGCTAAGGTGTGTCCCCCAGTTCTCTCTGTCTTAAAAAATATATGAACAATCAACAATGAATGAATGGAAATCCAAAGTCTCCATAAACTAAAATTTTTTTTTAAAAAAAATATATGAACAATTAAATCCTGTCCAATCAAATAAAAAGAAATTCCTTCAAATTAGCATCAGTCCTTCAAAATATTAAGAGGAACTAAAAATGTTAATGACTTTCTACTTCAAAGAACAGAGGGGAAACAAAGATGTTTGTTAACAATCTTCATTTCAACTCAAAACCTCAGAGCTGAGAACAGTCAGAAGCGACTCACAGCTGACCCCTGGTGGTTTTCAGGAGGACTTGAACAGGAGGGTGCTCTGCTCTGACAGTGAATCAGAAACCAGCAGAGAAGCATCGCCTTTAGGTTAGCAAGGCAACTCACTACACACTACACACAAGAGCTCTCTGAAGTGCATATAAAACTGGAATTCAAATTCATCGCCCTAACTAACTCGGAGCTGGCTCTCCAGCAGCTCTTCTTTCCGAGGCTGTAAACTGCATGGGAGGAGAATGACCACCTTCCTGAGTGCAGATGGAGGATCAGAACTTGCAGAGAGGCTGCAGACTTCCTCCAGACTCCCAGCATCCCATTCAGACCCCACCTGTCAAGTGCAGTCTGTAGAGTTGCCCTCCTAACTCTGAGGTAGCAACTCTCTGGCGGCTCAAATCCAACAGCAGCTCTGTGGGAGAAAAACAGGTAAACCCTACGCAATTTACAGCTGCCGAAAACTACCTGAAGGGTCAGCTGAATCAATTCCAAATCAGTGGCAAGGAGAGTTTGAGAATTATAACTTTTCTTAGGAAACATAGCAACTTAGCTTCTTATGTATGGATGAATGAGGGAACTTGACAGATGTGTATAGAAAAATTTAAGACAGGAGAAGTGCTGTGGATGGGTGCATTGTGAGATTGTGAATGCTTTCCACTCTTTAAATATTCTCACACAGATATTTTCAGATTCTCAAAAGCCACTTTGCTTTCAGGAAATACCTACATTAATACTTGCTTTGCTACCAAAAGGAATGTGTGAAGGATTTTCTTTTTTCACCCCCTTTCTTTTTTTTTAATCATTCATAGCAGTACATTTTCCCTCATTCCTGTTCCCCAAGGATTTTCACTTTTATGAATTTAGGGGAGAAAGTCAAAAGTAAAGGAAAATTTTTCCTAATTGTTATGTACCATTCAGTCAGAAAGGACTCACAGCTGATCCTCCAGGGGATTTTCAGAGCAGTAAATCTCATGGGAGGATATTACACATTTTGTTCCCTTGGAGCTGTTGGTGGATTTGAACCATGAACCTTTGGGCTAGAAGCACATCTCCTTTCCACTAAGTCACCAGAGCTCCCTAAAGGAAAACTAGCCTTCAGCCTCTGTTCAGCAGGGAGTTACTGGAGGCAGGAGGCAAACTGGGCAGCAAGGACAGTGTCCCCAGATTCCTTCCCAGGAAGCACACAGCATCTCAGCCTCAAGCCACCGTCTCTTTCAACTACGCCCGTGAACTGTGTCTATTAATGTATGTCAGGTTTTACATGTTATTCAGTAGGATTTTTATTAAATTTTATTTAGTAGGATTTGATATGCTCTTTCTTGGGTCTGAGAATGGCAAAAAAAAAAATTCCCATATACATTAATGGTAACTATTCCTTTGCCCTATGCCATTTTGCCTCATGAAAGTTTTCATATAAATTATATACTTTCAGATAGTGGGTGAAATCAATACCCAACCAGTGGAAATGTTGAAGTACCTCATCTAAAGGAATAAGCCTAACTATCTGATGTACAGAAAACTCCAGATTAGGGAGTAATTCAGTTTTTCCTTCCTTTTTTTTGGTGGTTTTTTTTGTTGCATCTAATTTTTTTTTAAACTGGTTTGATTACAAAGTTGGTATACATTGTGTTTCACACTATACCTCATTCACATTGTGTTTCATACTATCACTCTTATGCATTACGTTTTATAAAAGTAATAACCATTGGACCTTGCCCATCATCACCCTTTCTTTTCACCCAGACCCTTCCCATCCACCCATCAAACTGTGAAACCCTGTGGTTTCACCCCCACCCATCTTCAGCTCTCTCCCTTGAGTTCCCATATGTGTTTAATAGGTCTCCTTTGTTTCTAGGTTCTTTCTTTCTTGTGTCCTTATCTCCTGCTCTGCACTATACAAAGATACTCTCCTTTGCATAAGTGAGGAAGTAGCTTAATTAAATTATTCATGAAAAAGAAATCTAAATAACAAACCAAAACACGTACTTCTAGCATTAAAAATTAGCAATAACAACTGAGGGGAGAGAGACTATTTCTACCTTTGTTATGGCTTTGGGAGGAAATACCCTTTAGGGGTATTTCCCTAAAAGAGGACAATGAAGCAAAACCTTCAGAGAATGAGTCCCAGCTCACCTTAGGTGCTGTATGATTCTAGAGATACACCGTGACCTATCAACTTAAACACACACCTAGCTTGAATTAGGTCCACATATATGAAGCAGGAAATGGGATATGCCATGTTATCTGTTTACTATACACATGCTATTAGTTTAATTTACCTTGTTGCAGTGAATTCTTGGTCTGAACTGTGGAAGGCAAAGATTTATTACCATCTTTGTGGCTGAAAGAACAACTTCCAAGCATCAGAAACAGCCTTAAATAAAAAAAGAAAACTTGGTATTAGTCATACAAATCTGATTCTAAATTTTCTGAACTTGATCCCTAAAAGAAGAAAATCAAATGGACAACAACAAAAAACTTTAAACACAACACACAGACACATACACACACCTATACACAGACACACATATACATACACAGACACTCTCTCATGCTCTATGTTTATTCTTTGTAGTATATGATTTTGGTTTAAATGCATAATTTTAAAATTATTAAAGACTAAAATAAGTCTATGATCCCATATATAAGAAATTTCTAAAACAGGTAAAAATAGGTTAGTGATTATCAAGGGCTGGGGGTATTATAGAATTAATGCTTAATAAGTACACAGTTTCTACTTGAGCAATTCAAAAGTTCTGTAAAGAAACAATGGTAATGGTATTTGACAATACAGTGAATATAAAGTCACAACAAAATATAGCAATAGAAATTCTAAAAAATTATGAATGTTAATGTCTACTGCAAGTTGAGCAGGTTGGCACGCACTGTAGCAACCAAGGATTTCCTGTACTTGGATCTATAATCAATACCAGTGAAAGCAGCAATAAAGAAATCAAATGACATACGCATTAGCCATATCTGCTGTCGAGGTCCTCTTCAAAGAGCAAGACTGTCAGTTTAAAGATTAAGGTGTGCTTGATCTAAGCCATGGCATTTTCAATTGCTACATATGCATGTGAAAGTTGGACAATGGGTAAGAATTGATGCTTGTAAACTGTAGTGTTGACAAAGAGTATTGAATACAGCATAGACTGCCAAAAAAGTAACAAATCTGGCTTGAAAGTAGTGTGGCCAAGGTGCTCCTTAGAGGCAAGGCTGGTGAGACTTTGTTTCTTATGATGGTCAGGGAAGGAGAGGAAGACCTTTATCTATATGGACTATGACAGTGATTGCAAGAATAGTCTTGGCACAGTGGTGACTGTGACGATAGCACAGGACAGTGTGGGCTTTTGTCCTGTTGTACAGAGTTCCTGTGAGTCACTCAATAGCACCTAGCTATATCTCCAAGTTTCTGGTTGACAGCTGTTTTAAATCCTCAACATGGGCAAAGGAGATGGGTCAACATGGCTCAGCCAAGAGAAAGAACAGGATTGCTTAGCAGAAAATTTAGAATGAAAAAGGACACCAAAAATAGTAATAGCAGTATTAGGTATCTTTGTTATTTAATGCTTTTCAATGAAATTAAGTTTCCTCATTTAAAAGATATATAAACTCCAATAAAATGGTAATCACAAATGTTATAAAATAAAATGTAGTGCTGCCAGATGTGCAGGCTGGATTTAGAAGAGTTTGTGGTACTAGGGATATTATAGCTAATGTCAGGTGGATCTTGGTAGAAAGCAAAGAATACCAGAAGAATGTCTATCTGTGCTTCATTGACTATGCAAAGGCTTTTGACTGTGTGGATCACAACAAACTGTGGCTGACTCTAAGAAGAATGGGAATTCCAGAACATTTGATTGTGCTAATGCGAAACCTATACATGGACCAGGAGGCAGTTGTCAGAAAAGAGCAAGGAGACACTACATGGTTCAAAATCAAGAAGGGGGTCCATCAGGGATGTATTCTGTCTCCATACCTTTTTAATCTGTATGCAGAACAGATCATCCAAGATGCTGGGCTATACGAAGAGGAATGTGGAATCAGGATTGGTGGAAGAATCATCAACAACCTGCGTTATGCAGATGACACAACCCTGCTTGCTGAAACTGAGGAGGACCTGAGGCGCTTGCTGCAGAAGATCAAGGACTACAGCCTCCTATATGGACTGAAGCTAAATGTCAAGAAAACAAAGATTCTAACCACTGGGCCAATTGGCAGCATCAGCATGGATGGTGAGGAGATTGAGATAGTTAACAGTTTTAATTTACTTGGCTCCACAGTCAACGCTCTTGGTAACAGCAGCCAGGAAATCAGGAGACGAATTGCATTGGGAAAGTCGGCTGTGAGAGACCTCTCAAGAGTACTGAAGAGCAACGATGTCATACTGGAGACTAAGGTGCGCCTGATCCAGGCTATAGTCTTCGCAGTTATGTGCTATGCATCAGAGAATTGGACAGTGAATAGGGCTGAAAGAAAGAGGATTGATGCCTTTGAGCTGCGGTGCTGGAGAAGAGTGTTGAATATACCATGGACTGCTAGGTGAACAAACAGGTTTGTCCTGGAGAGGGTGAAGCCAGAGTGTTCCCTGGAGTCAAGGATTCTGAAGCTTCGTCTGACATATTTTGGGCATGTTGCAAGGAGGGACTGGTCCTTGGAAAGGGACATCATATTTGGCAGAGTGGAGGGGAAGCGAAGGAGAGGAAGACCTTGGTGAGATGGATCAATTCTATGACTGGAGCGGTGGGAATAAGTGCATTTGAGATGGCTAGGTTATGAGTCGCAAGCGACTCAATGGCACATAACAACAACAACAAGTGCAATGAAAAACTGACATGATTTGTTTGGTTTCATGATTTCTCAATGAAAAGCTGCTCCATGGGAGAAAGATGGGCAATCTCCTCCCCTATGCTTTACAGCTTCAGAAACCAATGCAGGGTCACCTATGAGTTGGTGCCAGCTGGCTGGTAAAATGAGTTTGTGTTGTTTATAGAGAAACAATTAAAAGTATCAATGACATCTTAATCAAGAAACAAAAAAATCTTTGGTTAGAAGGACCTTAAAAAGACATGCCACTTGACCAAAGACAAGATTCAGATGGTGAACAAACACATGAAGAAGTGCTCAAAATCCCTAGCTCTAAGAGAGATGCAAAACAAAAGAACTATGAGATATCATCTCACCCCAGTAAGAACAGCAAAATTCAACAGAGCAGCAAACAACAAATGCTGGCGAGGTTGTGGTGAAACTGGAACCCTTATTCACTGTTGATGGGAGTGTAAAATGGTGCAACCACTCTAGAAGGCAGTATGGTGCTTTCTCAAAAAGTTGGAAATAGAATTACCATTTGACCCAGAAATTCCACTACTGGGAATATCCCCTAGAGATAACAAAACTGGCACCAAAGCAGATATATGCACATCCATATTTATTGCTGCTTTGTTCACAATAGCAAAGAGTTGGAAACAATCTAAGCGCCCATCAATAAATGAATGGATAGAGAAGCTGTGGTATATTTACACAATGGAATACTATCTGGCATTGAAAAAACTATGAACTTATGAAATATTATACAAAATGGGTGACTCTGGAGGACATAATGCTGAGTTAAATATCTCAAGCACAAAAAGACAAATACTGCATAGTGCCACTGTTACAAAATGGGACTGACATTGGGGTCGGGGAACAAGAAAAGAGGGGATAAATAATGTATACTGCATTGAAAGAGATGAGGGAGAGAACTGTTTAAAAGAAATATACAATTAGGTATTATTTTCAAGATAAGAGTCCAGAGTCCAGAATAAGAGGTGCACAGTCAAGTGGGG